AGGACAGGAAGGGCATGGGGAAGCCACCCACAAGGGTTTCTGGACAGCAGGAAGTGACACACGTCACTCCCACTGGCTGGAACTCAGTCAGTGACCACACCTGGCTGCGAGGCAGCTGGGAAGAGCTGTCCAGCTGTGAGTCCAGAGAGAGAAACGATGGGTTTTGTGGATATCATTGTGGACCACCCGTAAAGCGTTTACATGGCTCTATTACATTGGCTCTCCCATTAAGTCTTGTCTGTAGTTTCCATGAATACTTCTTTGAAGAGATTTGCTGGATGTGCTCATTGAATATTTGCCATTTCCATGGCTGAGAAGGAATGTATTGGTTTCTACTTGAGGTCTGAACGTGCCACTGATTCTCCCAGATGCAGGCTGAAGTGTCTGGGCTTTCAGAGGTGGCAAAACTGAGAGCCTTTTCTTTGTGACCTTTCATGTGCAACCCTGGGGAAGAGGGAGGTGGGACTTGTGCTCCTCAAGACCGAGGAATCTTTCTTAAAGGGCCACATGACATGCAGGCTGAACTTCCATGACTCGGTAATCAGCCCTGAGTACTGGGAGTCCGAATCGGTCTTTCTTCATTGGATTTCCAGGAGAGTCTTCTTTTGGGCATGGATTTTCCTTCAGTGTCTGGAAACCTGCTTAGCACCTCTCCCACCCAGGCACGGGGATGTCTGTTTCCGTCATGTTTCTCCCTCCAGAGTCCCTGGAGTCCTGTGGGATGCAAACCCCTGGCTAAGCAGCCACAGCCGACTCCTGATCTGCTCTGGCCATAACATCATCCTGTCACCCCCAAGGACAGGAGTGTCACCTGTCAACACTTCTAACTGTTGCATTTGATATAATTCACAAACCATACCATTCACTCGTTTAAAGCATACCATTTCAGGCTGGACTCGGTGGCTCACGCCTGTAATCCCAGCACTTTGGGAGGCTGAGGCGGGTGGATCACTTTAGGTCACGAGTTTGAGACCAACCTGGCCAACATAGGAAAACCCTGTCTCTACTAAAAATACAAAACTTAGCTGGACGTGGTGTCATGTGCCTGTAATCCCAGATACTTGGGAGGCTGAGGCAGGAGAATCACTTGAACCCAGAAGGCAGAGGTTGCAGTGAGTCAAGATGGCACTACTGCACTCCAGCCTGGGTGACAAAGTAAGACTCTGTCTCAAAAACTAAAAAATAAAAAAAAAAAAGTATACCATTCAGCAGCTTTTAGTTTATTCACAGAGTTGTGTACCCATCACTACAATCAATTTTAGAACATTTGCACCAACCGCAAAATAAACCCACATCCCGTAATCATGCCCAAGCCCTCCATCTTCCCAGCCCCTGAGCACCACTAATCTAGCTCTGTTTCTGTGGATTTCCCTGTCAGGACATTTTGTAGACATGGAATTATACAATACATAGTCCTTGGCAACTGGTGTCTTTCACTTAGCTTAGTGTTTTCGAGATGCATCCATTCATGTTGTGGTGTTTATCGGT